AGCAATTATAACCTAAGATCTGTCTTAACCATCGCATTCCAATTCACTTTTGAAAACCACTCGAGGGAGAACGTGGCTGCTATGGCTCGGCAGTATGTGCGTAGTGTTGTGGGATCTGTTCAAAGGGTTGCCATGGCTATTGCCCCATCCCGTCTTAGCTGCAATATGGAACCAAAAGCCCTGCCTGGTTCTCCTGAGGCTCTTACTTTGGCACGTTGGATTTTTCGAAGCTACAGGTATGGCTTTGAATTTATGCTTTAGAATTTTGTTTGGCTGTAACCTGACCCAGAGAAGGTTTTCAGCTTTGACTGTATCAGCATTTCACCATTGATTCTAAAAATTGTATTATTGGTAATGAGTCATGTTGGAGTTTCTGGCTGGACATTTATATTTCATAAGACTGGTGTTAATGGGATGTATTAATGAACTGCAATGAGTTTCCTTCTTTTTAATGAAAGAGCAGATGAACCATGACGAATTGTTGACCATTTTCTTTATCAATGCACTTTAACTATTTTTATTGAGATGAAAAGGAAAATTACCAGGTTTTTCATTCTCTTTTGTTATATCTTATTCTCTTTTTATGGTCTTAATGTAATAAGAATGGTAATTGTATGGCTTATTTCAGAATTCATACTGGAGAAGAACTCCTTCGAGTAGATTCACAAGCTGGTGATGCGTTGCTGAAGCAACTGTGGCACCATTCAGATGCAATTATGTGCTGTTCTTTGAAAACAAATGTAATGAACATTCTCCTTTGAAATTTTAAATTCCCTGTTTCTTGTGGAAATGCATTCTACTTATTCTTATTCAGTGTGTCTTAAATCTTATTAGAGGTAAATTAAACTTGAGTGTCATTTTATTCTTCATTTTACTCGTCTGAAACTATCTTAATGTTTTGTTTTAGGAAAACTAACAGAATTGGTCAAATTTTATTGCAGGCATCTCCAGTTTTTACCTTTGCAAATCAGGCTGGACTTGATATGCTTGAAACTACTTTAGTGGCCCTTCAAGACATAATGCTGGACAAAATTCTTGATGAAGCTGGCCGAAAGATTCTCTGCTCCGAGTTCTCAAAAATCATGCAACAGGTAAAGTTTTCAGTAGGTGGATTATGCAGCTCTGACATTGAATTTTTTCCATCAAACTAATACAGGAATAAATGAACCTGATTCTAACAGGTAGGCCCTTAAAACTTGCAAGTGTTAAATGTGGTACTGAAGTTTTGAAATGCATTTTAAATTGCATAAATAACATTAAACGACCATCTTGACCAGTCCTAACAGTGTGCTTTTCTCTACTCTCCTAGGGACTGCCTTGACTCCTTTTCTCCATTTCTTAGGTTTAACTGAACAAAATGACACTGGCTTGCCAAAGTCATTGAGAAACTTTCTTTTTTAATTCTTGGGCTTAGATAGAAATTTATCTAATGGGCTATATATTTGTAATTGCAGGGTTTTGCATATCTCCCAGCAGGGATATGTGTATCTAGTATGGGCAGACCAGTGTCCTATGAGCAGGCAATTGCATGGAAGGTTCTCAATGACGATGATGCGAATCACTGCCTTACCTTTATGTTCATAAACTGGTCTTTTGTGTGATCTAGTAAGATGTATGGAAGAATTAAATTTTAGGTATCTATTAAGATAAATATTTGCTCATAGTACTTGAGAAGATGGTATGATATATAAAGAAGTTATTGGCAGGATTTATGAATGCTTATGTCTTAATGTGAATGGTTAGATGTTTGCTGGATGATGTGAATCTGCTTATCTTTAACTATCTGATTCCCTTTTTTGAGTTGGTTGGATCTCAAACAAATTGGATAATGTTGGGAGTAGTGGGGTAACAGCTGTGGGACCTGTCTGCTGTTGGGTTTGTTGGCACTTCCAAGTTTTCTTGTGTTTGTCTGTTGCTTTGTTCCTGTTGGAATTGTCATTTTCGCATTTAAATACGGGGAAGATACATGTTTCAATGTCATTATGCTCTTTTTGTTTACCTGTCAAGTATCAATCCTAAGCGGGATTGAATTTTCCTCAAAGACAGAGAAGGACAAGGCAAATTATTCAGACCCTGGATGTAAAGTATGCTCTTTATAGCTGTCGGACAAGACCCCATTTGCATTTCCCCAAACAAACACCTTAAAAACTTTGGATTGTGGTCTTTTATAAACAATGATCTTTGACTTCGAAGTACACTCTATTTTTGGACTTATAATGGTTCATATTGATCATACATGTTTTCAACATTGGAGGGCAATGCAATATCACTTCTCATTCCAAATTTTCTATTTGTTATGGCGATCTCTCTCAAGATGCTTAATTGATTTGGTGATGCCCATCATTTTCAACCGCCAACCTTCCCTTTGCGAATGCTGTTAAGATTAAGATGAAGCATTTCGACGACCAACTTGCTAGCTAGGATCCTGGGGTTTTCTCCAGTGAATCCGAAGGGCTTATATTAAACAGAGAAGTATATAGTTATGGTTGTCACCCGGACAGGACGGTCCCAATATATACTTTTGATTGTCAAGAGAATCGTTACAGAAAACAGTGAGAAATTTGTATATTTCTATACAAGTCAATGCATTTGTGATCTGACACACCAGGAGAAAAAAACCCTGAAAACAATTGATTGCTAGTATGGTATCTGGACGTTTATTTACTTCCAGCAAAGGAAGCCAGGCTCAGCCAAATGAAAATGTAGTTGGCAGCCATCAGTCAGCCTGCAACTACAACGCTTTCGAATTTTGTTGGTCCTAAAACTCATGATTCTTGAGTGGATTTGTTGTTAGGGCAAATTTGACGGGGTCAAGGATGAGACTAGACAAAGTCCTTGCTCCTTAATTCTAATGGCTTTTCAGTCTTCTCTCAGTTCACTACTGCAAAAAGAAAGAAAGAAAGAACAAACAGTAATTGTAAATGCAGCGGGCTTTTCAGTCTATTTATTACAAATAGCAGGCCAGAAAATCTGCTTCTGCAATTATCCCAGGCAATATCTTGTCTAATAAATGACGATATACCTCATGTCCAAATCTATGATCTGCTGCGAGGGAGGCAATCTTGATAAAATGAGGACAAACCAAAGCTCTATCCTCTATGGCATAGTCATTACTGGATTGCTGTGAAATGCTGGAAGAAATGCTATTATAGGTAAAAGATCTCAAGTCTCTCTCACTGAGATCATCAACCCTGGAGGATCATTGCAGAAACGGAGAAGTCCCTTGCAGAATGATCATTTTTTATTTAACTTGTAACCCTTTTCCCATTGTGCAAATCTCATTCTTTTTCAAACTGAAAAAAGAATCCACCATTCTCAAACTGAAATCTTGGGTTCCTCAGGGTGTCATCTCATGCATGGTAGGCTGCCTGGGAGGATACAAATAGATTATAGAGCTGACCT